CGCAGTTTATTAATTCCAAAACCATTCTGCAATTCGTCCATGGGATAAAAACATACTGATCGTAAAAAATAAGTATATAGGAGGTCTCTATGGAAAGGAGTTGCTTATGAGTAGTATAGGACGCTCGTAAGTGAACTATGCAGACCACATTAGACCGGAAAACCACGAAAAAGTTCGAGTATCCGGAATCACAAGCTGATAATTAGACAAAATCATGACGACGTGGTAGGGGATATCACGAACAATGCGTCAACCTCGGAGGCTTTTATGATGCAAAATCTCCGGAGTGAGTTAACGTGCTCGTTCCAACCTCTTCATTCCCAGGTTATCCGTGGGGCCCATAAAAGGCTTCCCTCGGTGAGCAGTCAACTATCGGTGACTGCGTACTTAGAACCACAACCGATGCAGATATGCGGCGAAGCCTGTACCTCTTAACTTTCGAATATAACAACTTCGAACTGACCATGAATACGGCAATAACAGCGGTCATTCATCAACATATGCAAACTGGGGAATACACTGAACGCATTATTCAGGTTAATGACTAGCTTCTGGTCATTGTAGGCCAGTTCTCGTAGCCTAAGGGATATGAATAAGAAAAGACGAAATTGTAGCCTGGGTGTGCGAAACAAACCAGGCCTTCGTTGGGATATAATCCGCGGCCTAGAATTGACGCAGTATCCTTTTCCGGTGTACAAGGCCGTGGTACGGTGTAGGCTTATTCACAGCGCAGAAATCTGCAGCGTCTACCAAAGCCAAATTCGAAAGTGAAGTGATGTCAAGCAGATCTATCCTCAGAGGATCCTGAACGCGAAGCGGCAGGAAAATATTCAACAGGGAGCGCGGGCAGTCAGACACTGTCCAACTTGCTCTGCTGATGGTGATGAGGTTCTCCATCGGCGAACAGTTAACCATATCTGCGAGAGACGAGAAGGGATCGGTTCGGGTCTGTTTATGCTTTCTCCGGCCGTTAGTAGGGCGAAACCGCAATAACGCCTTCCTAAAGCGATCTCCGCAGTACTGCCTTGTGTGAGATCCGATACCCCTTCTTTAAAGTCCGTCTTGAAAAGAGTTTCAGGATCGGGTTCACGGATAAGGATCGTCTAGCCTCCCCGACCACTGTGCCCATGTCCATCTCCGCTATTCATGACTTTGTCATGTCATCGAAACGCTGTAAGTGTGAAAAGAGGATGGGTGTCAGATACAACGCCACTCTGCTTCATCAGTAACAAATGTCTACGTAAGTTGCCATCGTGTCCTCTCGGGACAGTGTTGAGCATTGTCCCTGCCTTGAGTGGCGACCGCTTCCCGATTCTGCGGGCGGGCTAAATTAGATGAGGGCAGTCGATGTTTTCCGTTCTATTCGATAAAGACGTGTAACTAAAGGAGGAAGCTTGCACGGTTTGGCCTGCGAAAACTCTGTCCTCGTGCCAGTTCAGTCACTGGGCTCGACCTCATCTCATCTGTCGACTGGACTTCGAGTTCGCAGTGGGGAGAGGCGAAAAGAGTGAAGTTTCCATAATGATGTCAAGCAAGCGGTGAAACCGTGCTTGAAAACTTGGTCCAAAAGACGTAGGGCGGAGCGGATCTCATTGGGCTGAAGGCTACAGTGCGCCATCACTTGGCAGAAACAATGCCAGCAGCAAGTGGTTAATTCCTCTAAGTTCTCGTCTCTCGGCCGACTTTGCACGTCGTTTCCTGAGCTCCTATTTTAGTACGATGAAGAAGGGGTGATTTCAGCGGAGTTTTACCAGGGGCAACCTGTCCTACGCCCCATGGAGATTGCAGTGAATCAAATAAACAAAAACGCCCTCAACTTCAACTCGGTTTTACATGTGCTGTCCAAAAGGAATAACTGGGTGTCCAGTGGCATAGGTGACGATGTATCACAACACGAGGAGATAAGAACCAGCAGGTGAACGCGTAAAACCAAGGATTGTAGCTGCTAACACGAATGGCTGTACTAAGCAACAATTCACATACTCCATTTATTACGGCAAAAACGGTTCGAAATGAAGCGTTGTCTCGCGTGAAAAAAATAAGCTTTCGCTTGTGCTGACTATCAACGGTGTCCAATTGGCAGGCTTAGGAGTCGACTAAAGCACTAACTGCTGAGTCGTATGCCCTGCGATCGTCGGTTGGGTCATGGTGATCACTGTCCAGTTGGTATTCCACTCCTAACCACCAACAGCCCGGTCTGAGTTAGTCATACCCGTCTACTTTGCAATTAGCCAGTACGGCCGCAGAGCCAAGTCCGACGGGGATACGGAGAAACGAAGTCGCAGATAGCTTTGCCTTTGGGATGACAAAATCTGCTCCCGATCGGTAATGAAACATTGCCAGTCAGTCGGGGAAAGAGTTGGCAAAGACCTCCATCGCTCTCTCTCTCTCTCACTCTGCAACCGCCAGCCGACAACCTCGCAGGTCACTGCATTTAGGGCCTTCCAGTTGCATCCTAATTATTATGGAGGGAGTTTCGCTAAGGAGGTGTGCCTTCGTATCGGCCTCACCTTTTTGGCAAAGTCAAAGTCCGAAAAGCAAATGTTCCCCTACATATTGACTTGCTTGCGGTCGTGGAATGCTGTGCACAGGACACTGTGGACAAAGCGGGCTTTTGAGAAGACGAAGCCTTGACGAAGACCAAAGATTGTGGCGAGGAACTCGCTCACTTCTCTGTGCGCTTGAACTTTTGTCCACATACATTGATATTCCTTGACGATATTTACTTTGAGTTGAAGACACAACACTAGCCTCCCGGCCCTTCATAACACACCATCTTTTTCCGTTGAAAAGGATGCAGCCCTTGTCTGACAGAGGAACAAGCTCCTTGGCTTCTTTATGTCCTTCCAAGGGAAAAACGGTGTAGGACAGCCAGGAGCATCTCGTCTTGCTTTACTTCTCAAAGGGAAGTAGAATGGAAGTACTGTAGTGCAGTGGAGTAGATTAGTGTCTTCCCGAAACGAGTTGCGTTGGTGCGTAGAACATAAACGGGCGTGGCGAGCGAGTTGGGATGGTTTTATGTCATCTCGGTCGCTGCGTCCGATATCGTCTGCATACGGATTGACTCCGTATTACCACTGATAGGCAGTAAAAGTGAAGCCAATCCTGTGAAAACTCTTCCCATTGCAATATGTGAGTTGACGCGGTTGTGGACTATCACGAGGCGATAACTCGTCGCTTGGAAGGTTGACGGAATAAATCGTCCCTTTGTCCGCAGTGATGATCAGGGTATAATAGCCCACTATCTGAATGCTAACACTCACCGGTCTTAAATGCGAGCTAGCAATGTCTGGCTCACGTGCAATGAGGGACCAGTACTCAGACAGGGCATTTTTTACTGACGGTGTTCATCATGACCGATACAGCCAGTGCAATGCTGTGAGTTCACCGCATCTCGAATGATCGCCTTGAGTTACACCCAGACGGAGACAGATTCCTGAGTAGGGATGGATCAGTGAACAACTTTATTGATTGTCTGACGTTTTGGACAAAAAGCCTGCTCGTGCAATGACAGTAGATATGCTATTTCATGAAATGTTAACAGAAATTCTTAAATGTGCCTTGGGTTCGAAAAGACTACTTAAGTATGGTTGTCATATTAATTACCATCTAGAGTAACCACAAGATGTTCCAGTCCGTCAGGATGAGCTCTTTCCGGCCGTCTGCAAAAACCACACTATGAAAAGTACTTACCTAATTAGTACGAAATTTCCCATTGATTTTCGGTGCCCTAATAAGTTTAATTATATTTTATAGAAAATGTGCACAAAAATATTCGTCCTTGCACACATTTGAAAGCAAATTTTATACTTAAAGAGAGAGTGTGTCTTTCGGTTTTGAGAAACTTCCTCTATTGCCGAATAATTTTTCGCCCTGGTTGCCGACACACTTGCACCCAGGGTTTCCAAACTACATGCTGTGTACATTGCGTCGAAGGAATATCACACATTACACTGTTAGGAAGAGGTTATATAGAGTTCATATGATTGTGCAATGGATTTGGACCAGGTTGTATACTTTATAAGTGCTGATGCAATGCTGCACAAATGAACCTCACACGATCCGAAAAAATCTCAGTCGGAAAATTTTTAAAATCGAGAGTATTAAATCTGGATAAGACGTAAGTTGCTATCAAAGGTGTACAATTAAGAATATTTTTATGCACGTTTCCTATAAAATATATTCGAATTTGTAAGGGTATCGAAAATCAATGGAACGTAGGCTTTGCAGATGGTCGAAAGGAGGCTCATTCGAAATCCAGCATTCTGGTGTGACTGAAATATCTCGGAGTTCTGCTGCACGACAGTTGACATTACAGCCTTGCCTAAGAAATCTTTTCGGATTTTGGAATCTCGGTTAACATTTCATGTAAGAGCACATCTACCGTACTTCCGATCTCGTCATATACATTTGTCGGCCGTAAGAGCGTGGAGGGAGTACAGCTATAGCCGATGAGCACATTTCCCGGTCTCCTGGCCCTGCGATCAGTGTTTCCAATAAAAACTATGCCCAAACTATCGGTGACGCACACAGCTGATCTTCTTCAACCCGACTTTGCACTTATCCCGAAGGTGACTGAATCTTACTCATCAGTAGAAGGCCGGTGCAACGGAAGGCAGATGTGAAAAAGACAGAAATCTAACCTACCCTCTGGGTAGCCTATGTCATTAAAGAATTCCTCATAGTCATGCGCGGTGTAATTCTTGTTAGGGGTGAAGATGAGCGTCTCGTCCGATGGCCAGAGACTCGGACTGGGCAGGAGGAAGGCCAGTGAAGGCATGGAACGCTGCAACTCGCGGAACCACAGCGAGCTAGCAAAGTAGATGCCGAAATTGTCACCTGTGGTTGGCGGACAGAAAAAAGTGGAGAGTAAGAGGCAACTAGCACAGGCAGACGAGTACTGATGTTAAGCTGCAAAAGAGATGAAAAGACTTAAATGTGTGAGCAAGATGTGCTTGCGACGCACGGGAGTGTGATTCCGCAGCCCAGGTTACCCTACCACGGTAGCGGTCGCATAACCAGTCTGGGCAGACGCAAGAAAACTTAACACCTAATTCATTATCAGGCTGTGTTGCAAAAAACTTTCCGTACTGCATCTACTCGGAACGCTGTCGAAAGCATCGTCAAGTCGGATGCAGTGACTACCATACCCTAAACATCTTTCGTACTTCTACAGTTTTGCCACAATGTACAGCATCGTCTGACAGCAATCAGTACCTAATTGAAATCCGCCCACGGCACCCGCAAACAAGGCGCGGTTGTTGGTGTCTTTTCGGTCACGAAGGTTAGCGCGTCGCATCGGGAGTGAATTTAGTAGGCGGGGCATACTTCGGCAATAAAGTAACTACAATACTTGTAGTAATTTTCTGCGATAGTCAGCCCGGTGAGACAGAGGAATATGGATCCCTGTGTTACAGGTGGCCTTGAACTAAATTAGATGGGAGAGGGGGGTTAGGATTAGGGTTAGATTTAGGGTAGAAGAATAGGAACCTTCCTGGAATTCAGCGCAAGGCCGTCCCTAGTACGGTGGGTCATAATCCTCCTTTTCAAACAACAAGTCCTGGAATGCGGGCATCTTCATCCTTAGCTAGATGCTTCGCGGACGAAACTGGCGATTTTGTAATTACTGCCTATATTTCACGAGGCACTCTTATTATGTAGTCATTATGACATAAAATCAAGAGGAAATCACAATCATAGAACAATAATTAGAACTTTTTAACGATCATTTATTTACCGGAATATTTGAAAGTAGGACTCGTGCCAATTTGCGAAGTCCACATGGGGGGGGGGCGTTGCAGACCGAGCGAAGGTCGACTGATTACTACACTGACAACTGGTAATATGTCTACTCAGTTTTGCATACTCAAGACATTTGCGCTGCAGATGTTAGAAGTCGGACTAGGATCTGCACTGGTACCCATTTTGGAATCCCAATGGGCCCCAGAGGTCTGAAACCTCTGGAGGTTTCAAGGCAATCAGGTTTGCCCTGCCCACCAAACCACTGCAATCAAGCCAGAATCCGATAGGTCACAGAGGGCTCGAAGAGCATGAAAGGTGAGAAGATTGCTGACGGTCGGCTTGGGCCTCAATCCAAACTTGTTTTCATCCTAGGCAGAGCTCAGTCGGCAGCCCCAGTGCTCGAAAAGAGGAATTTTTACTGTCAAAGAGGAAGTAGTATTATGTAGTAGTAGTAGTAGTAGTAGTAGTAGTAGTAGTAGTAGTAGTAGTGGCGGCGGTGGTGGTGGTAGGCGTAGGGTACTGTTGGAAGGGATATAACCGTATAATCTGACATCACAACCAGTCCTATGTCACCATATGAGAAGCCGTGTGCTGCGGCACGCTGTTGTGCCGCGAAACTAGTGCAGGGTGTTACTACTTCATAAAATTCTTTCCCCAACAGTGGACCAAGAGTAATGGTAAATACGCCAACGCCGCTATTGGGTAGACAGCTGGCGTGTGCGTGCCCATATCCGCTTGGACCGCTGACTGTGGCGAGGCAGCAGGACGATGGATATGGGGAGGAGAGTTAATTGGTTTTTGAGTTATAATTGGTGCCGAGCGGGAAAACGTGGCCCTCGGTTGCCACAACTTAAGAGGGCTTGCAAGACCGCCCTAGACCGCTAGGCCGCTGAGGGCTACCTGCTTCGGACGCAGTTGAAAATTGTTAGGTGACACCGACAGCATGCCTTGGAGGCCAGCTTTATAGGATTTAGCACATTCCTTTCCTTCACCGCCTACCTAGTCCATCTTGCGTATTAAAAAGGACCTTGCTCACCGAGGGGGGAGGGGGAGGGGTGGCGTGAGGCCTTTCGCTTTAGGCTGCAGGCTCGTAAGCGATCGACATTCGTATCCAGACAGCGTCCGACATGCTCGCGCCGTTCAGATGGGGGTGTCCCCGAGCCGCCGTGGTGGGCCAACACGGCGAACGGCCGAGGTGTGAACCAGATCGCAGAATGCGCGGAGGGTCCCTCAAGCAAGCTACCCGGATCAGTATCACGTGACGATGATGAAATCATGCTACGGCCCATTTCCCGCTGATAAGGAGATCCACTACCACTAGAGGAGTGAACAAAGCCATACCGAGCGGCGCGGCCGGTGCGTGGCGACCTTTAAGCGAGCAGTCAACTTTTGAGCAAGACCAACGTAGCCGACGGAGCAGGATTCAATGATTTCACCGAACTCTGTAGTCTCTTAATCAGTTTCACATGGTCTTCACTTACCTATAAAACTGGAATAAAAAAGGGAATTCAAAGCCGATGTGATAGGTGATGGAGTTCGAAGCTGTTTGTCGATAGAGCAGTACAGTTTTTTGTGCAAATTCACTAGCTTTCTCATAGTATACTGATCTGTTTTCTGGCCACCTAAATGGAGGAAGTTTTTGCTGAAAAGTTTGGAATGATATATTCGAAATAACGAGTATTTGTTGTCCGGAGTCGGTGCAAGGTGCGGACAAAGTTACTCCGGAAGCGAATGACCGAAAATGCAGCGACAATAAGTAGGAATGACG